TAAATAAATGGTTAAACAAGTGAGAAGTTTCAAATTATGTTTTCTGCCTGTAGCTCCCTATGCTTCCACCAGAGGGAGAGGTATAGGGAGAGAATTATGATTATTATTATTTTTTTCAAATTTGAAAATAATCAGCTGCAAACACACTGGGAAAATGCCAAGACTAAATCATGGGCAATCCTGGAATACTGTTTCAAAAAGCAAAAAAACTGCTCTGCGCCCGATGTCATGTAGTACAACAACTACATACTATTACAGCAGGACAGAGGATAGATCTAGAAAACAACTCCAGTTTTTTATTATGATAAAACAGTGTTGTAACCATGGCTTAAAATCGATTTTCCATAACATGTCACCTCAGAGTCAGTAATGTAAAATGAGGTCACATTAGTTTTTGTTGAATAAAACAGACAATCTTCCTAAAAAAAGCCCCCTGTAACGACCTGTGACACCCCAGTCTGACAAATCCAATAACAAAAAAGATCATTATCAAATAAATAACACAATTTTAAATGTGTTTGTGTTCGCCTTGTGTCACCAGCATCGATGTTGTGTCCTAATCGCACATTCTATTATTGTGCCATGAATAGCGTGTCTCTGCGGCCTAAAGAGGTGATGGTGAACAATGGTTGTGCTAATAAATAAAAAAGCAGGCTATCAACTGTCAGAGTGTGCGGCTCCCTCAGTCACATGACCCACATGCTGGACGAGGTGTCACTGCTTTAGCATAGCCTCATTAGCATAAGACAATCAGCCCTGATCGGACGCAGGGCACAAATGTTGTCTAGACGACACGCATCAGACGAGTGAATCCCCAGACGCCCTCAGAGCCCTGGACTTGTGGCGGGACAACTTATTCAAAGTAAAATAAATAATATATACAATCATATTAGAAGTAAACAATAATACCAATTATTTATTTTTGTTGTTTTACTAACGCCAAGAATCCTTGTGTTGAGATGTGGAGACAGTGGATACATGTGCCGGGAATATGGCCTACACATTCAAAATATCATTGTGTGCAAAATATATTATTTTTGTGGTTAACAGTTACTTTTCAAAGATTAAAGGAATACATTTTGTTTATTACTTGTTAACTGTTTCAACTGTTTAAACATTTCCTGACTGTTTACACACCTAATTGATATTACTGAGACCAAATTTAAAATTTCTCCATTGTGAGATCAATAAAGTGTTGTCTTGTACATTTACATTGAATTTTTTAGCTGGAAATAACAAAACATGCATGAAATTAGGGTATGCAAAACAATGCTGCATTATTACACTATCAACAATAGTCTAATTTTTGACAACACTTTATGTTTACTTTAGTCTTTCATTCTAGTTATTAAGTAAAAATAATACGAATGTACAATAGTATGTAAAGAAGAAACACACATACTGCATCAAACCTGTACATTACAACCACAAATGGTACCACAAAATCATACAACCATTTCATACTACAGTCCATAATAACATATCCTCACACATGTATATATATAATGCATAAGTTGTCATTTACTTTGACAGAAGCATGTAACAGAATACACTACAAAATACTTTTTAAAGTAAGATAAGATAAGATGAACTTTATTGATCTCACAGTGAAGAAATGGACATGACACATTTGGCATAGATGGTCACTTCAGGGTGGGCAAAAAGACAGGAAGTGTGCAAACATGTTAAGAGGTTAAAATATAGTCCTTTGTGCAGTCCCAAGATTTATGTTATGTACGACAAAATATTATGATAGAAAAAGTTAAATTAAAAGTAGGCATTCAGTATTCTGTTACTAAGTGCATTTTCAAAGTATTCTCCCCAACACCACATACAGCTATTTACTCCAAATGTTTGAAATGTCCACCTTCCGCATTTGCAACCTCTATCCAGACAACCGACCTTGAGCGTAAATGTGTTCTTCTGTCGCTGTAATAATATGGAGATCCACAGACATGCAAATTCCTGCTGATGGAATGACAGTAAAGCTTGAAGATGACTCCATTGTTCTTCTCTGTCACTCCGAGAGTCAGAGAGCAGTTTCTTTGATACAGTTATTTTTGACAGCATGTGCAAATATCTGTAAAGCAGTGTCTGAGCTAAATATATGTTCCAAAAAGGAAAAGCGTGGCTAATAGTGGTAGTGGACGCTGCTGTTGTTTGATGTTTGCGTTGGTCCAGATGTAACCGGTGTGGCAGCAGCAGGATGAGTCTCCAGAGAGCTGATTATGTCTGTTTGCTGGTGTGATCTTGTGACACTCTGTCTACAGCTCCGCGATGATCTGAGCACCTGAAAGTGTGAGCGCTGCCTGCTTTGCATAACACACACAATCGCACACACACACAGCTCTGGGGTGATAAGTAACCATGCAAAAAAAGGATTTTGTTTTAGAGATTTTACTTTTGAAAGGCGTGTTAATGAACATCGCACGGTCTGAAATATATACGGTCATAGGATCTAAAGTCAAAACAGGGCAAAAAGTTACAGTTATGCAGCTGGGAGAGGACTGAATATGTAAAATGGCTTTAGCACGTTTCTTTACACACTCACAGTAGTTTATAGAGCAATTTATATATGGATATGGATTTAGGGGAAATGTACATTCTTGGTTAGAAAATTATTTAACAGATCGCTTTCAATATGTTAATTTAAATGGAGTTGCGTCCTGCTTACAGAGAATTAATTGTGGGGTTCCGCAAGGCTCCGTTTTGGGCCCCAAGTTATTTTTGTTATATATAAACGATATTTGTAAAGTATCGGATGTTCTTAATTTCATTCTCTTCGCGGATGATACAACAATTTATTGTTCTGTCCCAAATCAAATAGAGCTTGTGTTGGTGGTAGAGAGAGAATTATATAAACTAAAGAATTGGTTTGATTTGAATAAATTGTCACTAAATTTAGATAAAACAAAATTTATGGTATTTTGTAATAAAGAGATTAATAATGAGATCAAGATCACTATTGACGAAAATGAAATAGAAAGAGTAAATCATATAAAATTTCTTGAGTAATTATTGATTGTAAAATGACTTGGAAACCGCATATTTTAAACGTGCAAAAGAAAGTATCAAAAACGATTGCAATTTTGTATAAGTTGCAATATATTTTGAATAAAAATGCATTACATTTACTTTATAGTTCACTTGTCACACCATACCTAACATATGGTATCGAAATATGGGGTAATACATATAAAACTAGAACCAATCCAATTTTTCTATTACAAAAGAAGGTTATCAGATTAATTAATTATGCACCATATAATTCACCAAGTAATTCACTGTTTCTTCAATCAAAAATCTTGAAGTTTTATGACTTAGTCGATTTGTACACGGCAAAGTTCATTTACCAAGTTAAACATAATAAAATTCCTAAATGCTTGCAAATATTGTTTACTCAACGAGAAAGTAATTATAATCTCAGAGGACTGTGTATATTTAACCAACCACAAGTACATTCTACATTAAGAGAACATTGTTTATCAAATAAAGGAGTTAAATTATGGAATAGTTGCTGCAATGAGTTAAAACAAGCCACGTCTCTTTTTCAGTTTAAAAATATATACAAGAGAATAACAATGGAAAAATATTTAATGGAATGAAAATGAATTCTTCTGGTGTGGACAATGGTCCATTAATGTGTTAATTTTATGAATAGATGTTGTCATTAATGTGCTGCATTTATGATTTGAAGTTAAGGGCAGGCACAATAAGCTCTAGCTTCTGCCTGCACCTGGTCATTTATTGTGTTCTAAGTTTCAAATGTTTTGTTTGAATGATCTGTAAATGACCAAACCGAAATAAATGAATGAATTTATCCAAGACTAAGTAATTGTAAAATCCACGAGTTTATTTGTAAAGCAAAGTTCATTCACAAGGCCACTCAAAGAACTTTAAAAACAAAATATAAAAGATCACATTACATTAAGTTTGAACATACATAAACAATATAGATTTTAACATTGTCAGAGCAGAAGCCTTGTCACATGTTCAGATTTAGCTGCATAAATCTGAAATGCTGCCTTCCCGTGGTCAGTCCTGACTCTGGGAACCATGCAGGCCAGTCCCTGTTCTCCTCAGAGTCCCAGCAGGAGGCCAGTCCCTATGCTCCACAGAGTCCCATGGCTAATATGGAACTAAAATCTCACTAATCTACTTAATTTACACTCAATAATGTTTTCTTTTATTTGTGCTTCCAGAGTGATTCAGCAGTATTGCAGGAATGTTTGTTCTCAGAAAGCAATAGCTAACTTGGGCGGTTGCTACAGAGCCTGTGGGGCATTCTCTGTGACCATTAAAAATGAAGTTGCATAAAAGAGCAAGTGCAAAGCTATAAGACAGGACTGAATACAGTACAAGAAACAGGAAACTTCTTGTTTAACATCATTTCTGATCAATATTGATATTGATTTCCTTTTACTAAACGAACTGTACGATCATGATCTATGCATGTACAACAGAGAGAAGCATCTCCTTTACTTTAACATTAGTACCAAAAAACAATATTCTTGATTTAAAAGAAAAAAAAAAAGAGCTTGGCAGGGCCTGCTTAGTACTGTGGGAACACCAGATGCCACAAACATTTAAGTTTATGGGTGCGGTTAAGCTGACATACTGTTTACATCTACTGGTACTTAAAATACTGTATATATGATGCAGGATTTATGAACATTCAACACAGTTAGTGACAACTTCTGGCCTATTCAAATGTCTATAATTTTTGCATAATGAAAAAGTGCACCAGGGCAATCTTAGACACTTCCATAATATGTTATTTTTCAAGAATTCAATCTAAATTAAGGGATTCTTCTGTAGCGCCTCAAACACCCAACACGTACACCACTTTCCTGGGTCCTACTGTGAGGTGCCTTGTGCTGCACTAGTGTCACAATCTGCAAATGTTCGCTCCCCTTCACTGTCCTGCTATTCTCATAAGAGAGACTCCCAGCATCTGTCCGCTGTCACCGCATTGACAGTAATGGTGCGAGGCATTCGTATTAGACACCACGACAGAGCGGCAGAGCAGACGTGGAAGGAGACGTAGCCAGTAGGGAAATAGCGGAACAAGTATCGGACAGGACAAGAGCAAAGATGGAAGCATGGCCAGGGACCACACGGGTCACTTGTACTCTGTCCAAAATCTTCTCATTTAGGCCGCCTTCCCTCTTTCCCACGTGGCCCGGGGGCAGACTGTATCTCCTCCAGAAGACATAGAACAAGTGAGAAGGATTGCGTTAGACAGGAGTTAGTTATTGTTGGCTGAAGGCGTGTGTTAGCACTCAGCAGCGCGAGGTCAGTCTGGCCCCGGTTCCACAGCAGCTTGCAGCGAGCAGAACCAATCAACACCTAGCTATTCACACACGGAGCTCGCAGTCATTAACACGTATCGGGCTTGTTTGCATATCTGTCAGCACTTTGCAATTGAGCTCATTTCTGGTGCAATAAAAGAATCGCACAGCTGAGGTGAAACTGTTTACGGTTCGGGGGCAGATAACGCAGTAATGTCAATCCCGATCAGATTCAGGAGGATGCGACAAAGTGAAGGAGGTTTTTAATTACACGCAGAGATGTGCAGCAAGCTCGTCCAAAAATGTGTGCGTCGTTATGTGTATATGTGGTGTATTTGAATAGTATAGTTCGGAAAGACAGCGGATAAGCACCAGTGAGCAAAGGGAAATCAGAAAGTCAGGATGTGAAGTGGGCTAAATGATTGACTGAGAGAGGACAGCGAAGTTCTGGCTATAAGTGTCAACTGTGACATGAACTATTCTGATTGGATCCTCCGCCAAAATAGCAGCCCTATTATTTTAATGAACTATTTATCATATGTTAAAATGGAGAGAACAGGAATGAAGGGTGTTGGAAACGTCATCATTGTTGAGTTTGTTCAAAGGTCTGTCTGTAATATGTTGACTTTCCGAATACAAGCTCTATTACAAATAAACACAACATTTACTTCTCTTCTTTCACTCTCCCCGGTTGGCTTCACATTCACAATTGTCAAGACACCGGATAAAACTGCATATGAAGCAGTTGTGCTGGTTCCTCCACACTTCCTCTCCGAGAGAAAGCACTCTTTAATCATTTCATAAGATCATTTGCCTGGCAGATATGCCTCAGGCTCTTCCCATTAGCCCTGGCTGCCTTGACCTACTTCTGTGTGTGTGTGTGTGTGTGTGTGTGTGTGTGTGTGTGTGTGTGTGTGTGTGTGTGTGAGGGGAAGAGTATCAGTTGAATATGAGATGGTGGGAGATGGAGGGAAAACTGGACTCCACGCACATACTGTCTACACACAGTTAACAATCACATCCACACTAATGAGGCTTTCATATAGTGACCTACACACCAATTAGACCAGTGTTTGCCATCAATGATTAAAAAAACATATCAACAGTGGACATAAACTAAACTATAATATTAAAAAAATAAACTTTTCCCTACATATTATGAGTTTTATTGAATTGAAAGTTATATAAATACAGGATTAAGAGTTCCTTTATTCGTCCCACGGTGAGGAAATGTCAGTGTTGCATCACAAGTTACAGAACAGCAGGAAGGAGCGGCACACAGCACAAGATACATTCATAATAAAGTATAAAATCTCTATCTTTTGCATAACAATGAAATAATGTGTTTCCTATTCTGTATTATGTGCCCTTGTGGATAAATAAAGTTTGTTTGTCTAAATAAGCTTTTTAATTCAGCCAAACAGAAAAAATGTATGACTTATTACACCTTACACCTTAACATACACATTTATTTTTTTATTTTTTATTTTTTTTACAAATAAGTGCTGATATAAAATACTACATTTAATAACCATGTGTGTGTGTGTGTGTGCTGATTTCAACCACCACACTGTGCCACTGTGTGTTGTATTTTCACATTCAAGCTAAACCTGGAGATAATGTAGCTTTTCTAATCCGGTGGAAGTCCCTCTGGCCACACACACAGCGTTACCTGATGTATTCCTGATATGACGCGGCCTGTGAGATTGTGTCCAAGCGGCTCCCTGTCCCTGCAGCCATATCACGCGCCGCTCTTGTATCTCTTCATTCCAGTTTCAATCAGATGCTGCCGGACGCCGCTCTGATGTGGGCGAGCAGTAGCCTTGAGCCACTCCAGGGTACGAGGGCAGCGTGCGGCTGTGGGGCCCGCAGTGCATGAAAGGGCATCTATTATCTGTGGACCGGAGAGCACACGGAATCGTCATACGCAAGGACAGAAGGATACAAGTTGGGACCCATTCAAACTTAATGGTCAATCCGATAAAGCCATTTTTAAAAAAACACGTGGAGTGGTTAGACCAACATGAAAAACACAAAAGATTGAGTGTTGTGTTTTGGCCCGGTTTGGAGTATTCTCTATCAAGTGGTAGTACAGTAGTGATGTTTCAAGCTGGAGTACGACGCTTGAAAACACGATTACGTATGTGTTTTATATAGACTTGTTTCTGGCAATGAGCATGCGTTTATGAGCACGGCTACCACTTCAGAGAATCTTTTTAAAATAGAACGTAAAGCAAGATAGATCGTCCTCAAACAGCCAATCAGAGTGAGCTCCAGCTCAAAACGAAAGGCACACCACGTTGCGTCAAGTTTACGGTCATTTCTTCATTATATATTTGCAGATGTATCCTATGTGATATTCAGAGTAACAGGAAAAGGAAACTTATAGGTTGAATTAATATTTTTATCTTTTATCTTTTTACAATCTTTATCAGATTCTGATTTATTTTATTCATTTGCAGTAAAACCACATTGGAGTACATTTGCAGTCCCCAGTGTGTACAAGACAGGTACATCAATAAAACTAGACTAGACATAGTGTTGGCAAAAGAAATGCAGTTTCACACGTATGATAAAACTTTCTTTTGACATCCTCTTCTTTGTCTGTATTTTTTTCAATACAAGTTTTTCACAAATTTCACATCCACTTGCTGCCTCTGGCTCATCTGATCTATATCTACAATGTACAGCAAGTTGAGCCTTGGACATATATACCATGAAGACCTATGCGAAATATGTCTGAGGAATGTAACCTTTGGAGCCACTGTGCCACTGGCCCCAGGGTTCAGCACGGCCTCATATTGTATCTAACTCTATACTGTACATTCGTGTAGGCATGCCTGTGAGCACGCCTCTTATCTGCTCATGACCCTGCTCACCTGTGTCTGTGTATACCATGTGGAGAGCCAGTACAAAAGGAGACATCACCAGGTTATTTACTTGAATGTATATATCCACTGGGCTGCATGGAAAATGCACTCAATACGTATATGACTGCCACATGGGCTATTTTCGTCAGTAATACGAAGACAGCTTCATGTCAGGCGGCCCCGGTCAAGAGAGGACATGGAGATAGAGGTGGGCTGTATGTCCATATGTAAGCACAGCACATGAGTATAGACTCTCAATGAGAAAGTCTGGAAAGAGGTTACACAAAAGCTCTTAAAGATTTACCAAAAGAAGATTATATGTTATGATACAAAAACAACATGCCACTTTTCTGTTTTTCAATACAAAGTGGCAGCAATAATGGTTTGTATTGTAAGGGTGACACAAAATGCCGAGCACAGATAGTGTCCAGTACTTTTCAGCATCCATTTTTGAGGTTGTAAAATAGGAGCCGCTTCCGTACAATTGGAAACAATATTCTAAGCTTAAAATGTGCTCACACTGTATAAGAAACAGGAAGCTGAAACCAGTGGGGGCGGGTCCCAGCTCAAAAGTGACCAAAATGACGTGCGCTGACATGCTTGCAATACCACCCCGAGCCGATGGGGGTGGACCCAGAATAAGAATTAGCCAATGCTAACATATAGCATCTTCTTAACTCTCGAAAACGTCTTTACAGGATGGACCAAAAGTTGGTTCTTGGCCCAAAGCTCCGTTCCACATGTGTGTCAATGCTGAGGGGAGTGAATTTTTTTGGACCTCTCTGGTTTACTTGCTGTGAATTTTTTAAGTCACTCGTTTAAATGAATGGAGCTCACGCCGGCTGACACATGCGCAGATCATTTTATATAGCTCCAGTAGAGCAAAATGTTTGGCCCATTAGTTTGAACGGCGCAGATAAGCGTGACTCTGTCCATTAATATTTACAGTCTATGGCTGAAACCCACGAATAGCCTTGTAATACAACACGGTTTTTCACAAACTGACCCGATGAGCTGCTACTTTAAAATTGGTTGTCCTATATGTGAACATAATCAGTTATTACATCACACTGTGTTTTTTATTTTTTTTTATTTTAATTTGGACATTTTTTTTTAATACCTGGAAATTTCTTGAATTCCCTTCGCAGGACTGAGTGTTAAAGATGTAAACTATGTACTGGTATAGAGGTTTAGAATGTTGGTACTATATAAGGGTCTGAAGAAAAGCAAAATGATGACATGAGCCACAATTTACTTAAACATAAATGTTTTGTCGTCCAGAAACACGCTGCTTCCCATTTGTTAAGACACTATTTCTATTCCGTCAAGGTCCTAAAGGGTCATTGTTTATTTCCATGTAGCTGCTATAATATTCCGCTTTAGGTTGTTCCCAGAGGTGGTTTTGAGCGGTTGTGAACCCATTCTGCAGCGTATTTACAAGGACTGCTTTTTCATATATCAACACGAGACGCACAACAATCATCTTCAATCACCCTTTTTCTGTCTGTCACTCCAGGAGCCTTCGCGATATTGGCAGTGCTCCCCAAAGCTAACGTGGCATCACATTCTTGACTAAACGTGCATAAAAACAAATTAGCCCGGACCATACAATTTGCAAAGAGATGTGTGCAGCCAGCCAGCAAATAGATGTCATTCTGAACCAAGGTCATGATGGTATTGAGGCTAGAAATTTAGGATTGATGTTTGCACACAGCACGCTCTTCCACTTTTTATTCTCTGTCTGACGGGTTTGAGGCAAGCTTATTGGACAAAGCCCACTGGGAGCAAGATGCAGCAGACAACACAGACAAATCTCCTCCACACCGTGTAATTTCAACACATTTAGTTTGGATTTGTGTAAACATTTTGGTGAAACTGAAATAGGATTTTGTAAAGCTACCAGGGATCGATTATACTAAGTGATTATTATTATGGAATTTTGAGAGGACATAGGTTGGAGTCTGTTTTTTTTTTTTTTATATACAATTTGAAGGGTCTCCTATTGGTTTTTAAATGTGAAAATGGTCTTAGGCCTTTCTTCTGAATCCTCCCGGTCCCTGCACTCCTTCAGTAGCAGGTCCCAGTCATTCTCAAAGTCAGGACACACTTTGGAATTGTGCAGGAGAGCTCAGGGCCTCAGAGAACATTCAGGTTTTTAAAAGCATGACACAAGACACCAAGAATGTCCTGAACGCAATTCCTAGTCAGCAACAGGGTCTTTTTGAGCAGTGTTTGCATGTTCTTTCTATGTGTCTGCTTAGGTTTCCTCTGGATGCTCCGGTCTCCTCTACTACCAAAACCTGTAGAATAGCCTTTCTATGTAGCCAGGTAATACACAAATTATTCTCTATTTTATAACAAAATTAACAACAAATTTGCAATTAAAAAAAAAAACATCCAGTGAGTGAAATGGGTGGAATAAGAAAAGAAAAGAAAGGAGATGGCTTGGATTTAATTACTTTTCATTACATTTCAGAAAGGACAATGTTTGCTCCTTAAGTGGCTCTGCATAAAATCAATCAAAGTGAGGAATGGATTTATTGACACTACGACCAGACAGGGCACAGGAGGAATCATATTGGATTATTACACATCTGATGACCTATGCTCATCTGGTCTAACAAGATATGATCTTTGAGTGGGACGCAGAATCATTGAGAAATCTGAGGTGATCAAATTAAGAGACAGAGGCTACACTATGGAGACAAGAAAGTGCATGTTAAATTAAAACAGAAAAAAAATGAAATACAGATGTAGTAAATTCAATTAAATTCAATGTATTTTTGTATTGCCCTAAATCACAACAGTAGTGATGTAGGGAAACTTTACAATGTTGTCGATTTTGCCAACGCAGATCAGAGAATCAAACAGTTCAAACAGAGGAAATGTAATGATAAAAAACAGCCCCATTGGTCCATAAGGATCATCACCACTGTCAACACTAGACCCTCCTGCATCGGCAAAAAAACTCAAGGTAGATCATACTCTTTTCATGTTCAAATACACAAAAATGATTTAGCCTATAGCTAAATTGTTGTCTAAATCACAGTGAACACAAATGGATGACAACAAAGTGTAGCATCAGCACTGACTCTGACAATTGCTCTGGATTTGTTGAATATGAATTGCACAGATGTAAATATAGCAACATGGTGTCACTCGTGCTCGTGAAAGTAACAGTTCAGTCAAGCAAAACAATTTCCTATTCTAGAAAGAAAGTAAATAATTAATCTTTATTTATACAGCACATTTCACAGACCAGAGTCTCAAAGCGCAGTACAATTGTTGTGGGCATTTGTCTCTCACTCCACACAGAGATGGGAGGGAGGTCGCCCGTACAGGAGGCTCATGGCAGAAAGTTGAAATTGAACCCATAACCTTCTTGCTGTGAGGTACAAGTGCAAACCACTGTGCCACCATGCCGCCCCCAGCAGTTCATACTTTGTCCAAATGTTTTTGTTTTGTGAAGTATCAATATTTGTAATCGAATGTGCTACAGTAATTGATATTAAGACACTAATCGGTAATCTGGATTATTAAAGGCCTAATGGTGCTTTCAGACCGGGACAGTCGTTGCGTCTGCGTTCAATGCAAAGTCAATGGGGTGGCGCGTTTCAGCGTCGCATTGCACGGACCTCTCGGCACACGCGCACGGACCGCCCAGTAGAAACGCACGGACTTGGCGGGAAAGTCAAAGGGGAGGAGAAGGAGCGGAAAATGAACGCCCACAGGAGATGGATTCCGCTCAACTTTTCCTCGAGACGTTCGTGCTGCGACCAATCAGAGAGCACGCACACCACTGACGTAATCACGCCACTACACGGCGTATGTTTTCCCCATTGAGAGCCAGGAACCGGTCATTTAAACATG